TCACTCGCTCTCACTCGCTCTCTCTCTCTCTCTCTCCCTATCTCTCTCTCTCTCTCTCTCTCTCTCTCTCTCTCTCTCTCTCTCTCTCTATCTATCTATCTATCTCTCTCTATCTATCTATCTCCGTCTCTGCTGATTTGGGATTCTGCTAAGTCGGGGCGAGCACTCGGTCTCGCGCTCGAGGTCCCCGACGCTCCGGACCGTCCTTATCCCTGTGGCGCGGAATAGAGCGCGCGAAGCGCATTCCTACGAGAGGCTCCACGATATACAGAGCGAACAAGGAAAGCCGCACTTGCGAGGATGTCGAACATAGAGCGCTGAAGAGGGACGGCAAGTGGAATAGGGCTCGTAGGCCTTGGCTAATATACTCTAGGTGTGACACTAGATTGAGAGGGAAAAAGAGGAAAGAAGAGACTCTGCTTGCGCTTCTTCCTGTTGCTGAATCTGCGACGGTAATGGCAGCCGCGATTCTCTCGCGCCACTCGGCTCATTCCAACACTTGCCTGTGATTTTTCCCTATTAATCTTGCTTAGTATTGGGTTTCGTTGCTAACATTTAGTGGTCCTTGTGATAGTTGCGTTATTCATGTGAACGTGACTACGAGCGACTCAACCATGTTTACGAGCATTGTGAAAAGAAGTCATTTTTGCGCTCTGGTTCTACTGTTTTACAGAGGTACGTTAAGTCTCGCTTTATATTTTTTCCATATCGTCTCTTGCGTACCGCTTACGTCAAACTTTATGCATACTTTGACATACGTAAAGTTGTCGGTTAAAGGATAATTTCATAAAATGATTTATTATAAAACTTTCGATATTACTATTTATCGATGTTTACAATACTATCAATTGACTAAATGCAGTAAAGCGATTAATTTTTGTAATATCGAGAGTCCCTATGCAATAGGATGAACTATTCTTAGAAATTATAACAGCCTTATAGTTACTAACTTTTCTATCAATCAAAACTCATTTTCATTCGTTTTTCATAAAATTCTGTCACTTGATCATCGAAAAGAAAAATTCTCCTTTTTATCCCTTTTATGGATATAAATAAATATTTACAGTGAAATTGACACTAACTTGTAACATTTTACACTAAAGATATTGATATATAATTAAATAATGTTTCATAATTTTATTATAAAAGATCGCGTGGAAATTAAAATGTTGAATTTAAATTTAAATGCTTATATTTACTTCTATAGCTATCGATGAATAATTTTAAAGTAATCGAATGATCAAATGATTAAAAATATTTATCGTACAATTCATCTGAAAAGAAAGAAAGAGTATTTATAAAAATTTCTGTCAATGTTTATAATCATGTACGAAATCACTATTAACATAAATAGTTTGTGGATTTATTAATAATTACGTCATTCGATGAGATAACTCGTCTATCAACATTTGATCGAGCGATAGAATTTATGCAATATTGAAAAAAATTTTATTAACCCTTTTCAATCGCCAAGTCAATAGTCAATTTAATCTATTAATAAATTGCCATTAACATTGAATTTTACATTATCTTTAGAATAATTAAGCATGTGTATGTGTGCGTGCGTGCGTGCGTGCGTGCGTGTGTATATTTCCAGTCGAAGGCCTTGGTCTTCTTTTAGACGAGGAAAAAGAACCAACCTACCTTACCGGAGCTGTTGGCGAGTATGTCGTCTTCGATTGTGATCTCGATTTTCCACATGATATACCCATACCTTACATACTGCATTGGAATCGCGATGTAAGTCAGTCATCTTTTATGAAATTTTATTTATTTTCGATCAAAGTTCTGTTTACTTATTTATTCTCTAGCCAATTTGCTATTTAATCCCATTCATAATGAATAATCTCATAATAACAATAATAACAATAACAATAACAATAACAATAACAATAACAATAACAATAACAACAATAATAACAACAACAATAACAACAATAATAATAATAATAATAATAATAATAAATGTCTGCGATTTTTCAGTTTCATCACAAAGCTATTTATTACGAGTTAATTACACATGTCACAATGAAATGACTTTAATTTATATATTGAGAAACGATGTAATTTCTATTTCAACTTTTTAAATACATCTTTGTGCATCCTCAAAATATAAGATTGACATATTATAAGCGATTTTCTTATTATATATAATTTTTGTCTATTAACAAATCATTTCCTATGAAATATTATTATTATTATATATCGATAAATCAAAAAATATGCATTACTTACATAATTTTAATGTACATTGAGCTTCTGAAATAAAATCTAATCTCATTAGATTCACAAAATATTAAGGAATTATGCTTATTTTAAAATCTGTAAAAGGCTTTTAATAGATAAATAAATAATAAGCTTTCATATTCGTATGATTAATCACATATTTATAAAGATTGAAGATTGAAGTATAAATTTTATCTCCATCGCACTGTTAATTAATCTCTCTCTCTCTCTCTCTCTCTCTTTTTTTTTTTTTTTTTTTTTTTTTTTTTTTTTTTTTAACTTACAGCATGAAATAATACTTAATAATAATAACAACTCGATTGTTTTCTTTTATTAAATATATGATTTAATCCAAACTATATAAGATTATAAAGGAAATATTTAGATTATTAATAACAAAAGATTTGAAATATAATGTTAAAGTACGTAATTAACAAGTACGGAAAAGCAAATCAAAATTACGTATATTTTATTCATTTCATAACATTGGTATTCTTGTAGCGAAGAAATAACAGTCGAATAAAATCAATATAAAAAAAAAAGAAATTCTTCATACATCAATGGACAAATATTATTCATTTGATATGTTATTTATAAAAATTTGCAATTACTATAAATTTCCCCTTATATACTCGATTCAATATCTCGAAAAAAGAAAGAAATTTTACGAACTTTACGTTTAATAATCGTATTGAACGTAAAGCACATAATGCTAATTTAATTTCTGCATTATACAAAAACATCTGATCGTCAGTTGGAAAGATCCCACTGATCACGGGTCTGTCTTATAAATTGGCCGACATCGTTCTGCTTGCACGTTGGAGTTAAAAATGTTGGACGAATCCTTGTGGCCCGGAATCGACTCTTTCAGTCATCATAATTTCTCTTGCATACAGTTGATTGGTGATTACGCACGCTAAGCGATGCTTCTTCGAGCCTCTCCCAGCTCCATTCGCTCATTGCTATATTGCCTCCGGGCTACTTTGCTCGCCACGACTGCGAGCGACAAAAAAAAGAAAAAAGAAGAAGAAGATGATGATGATGATGATAATTATGATGATGATAATTATGATGATGATAATTATGATGATGATGACGATGATGATGATGATGAAGAAGAAGATGAAGAACGAGGCCAGACTATCAAATTATGCACGAAGCGATCTATATCTCTTGCGTAATTAACAACAACACTTTCCTTCGATTTGATTTCAATTACTAATGATCTATTTAGTTTTGTTCTTATGTGCATTTACTTTTATGGAAACTATCCGGATATACTCCATTCAGATTGATTGAAAGGAATTGATTTTACATGGGGATTAAATTAGATTGCAATTTTTCAAAACAAAAAAAAAACAAAAAAAAAAAAATAATATATGAATTCTAACTTTCTCGCATTCGCGCTATGATTAAGCTAATTAGTACGAGAAACTTTTATGCTTCAATTGGTACATGAAACGTTCATGAATTGTCATGTATATTAAATATTTCTACTTAAGTAAATTTTCTCTAAGGAAAGAACACTATTAATTGTGTAACTCTTCAAAACAAAACAAAAAAATACCGACATTATTTATAATATCGGTATATGCCTAGGAAATAAATGAACTTCTATAAGGACTAATAACGGAAATGTAAAAAAATGTTCAAACAAACGGCAGAATAAATAATGATTAACGTTTAACATGCATAAATTTCTTTTAAAGTAATATTTGGAGTTAAAGGCAATAAAAGAAAATATTAAAAAATTAATCAATTAGTTAGAAAGAGAATTATAAATTCATTGATAATTACATTTCAATATAACATTATTGCGATAAATTAACGCTTTTTTAATTTTAACATCAAGATAATATTAAGATAGGAATATAGAATTAATTTAATAACGTAATGTAGTTTACCTGTTTTTAACGACGTTTCTTTATAAATTTTCATTATGACCGATATTCAATTTATTAATAATTAATGTAAATAATTAATTAAACGCTATTTAAAGGATTACACGTTCCGACGATAATTTAATAAAAAAAGATTTTGTACAAAATTAAATTACTAATTGAATTTAAAATAAAAATATTTTATTCATCATTTTTTATCATTTTCTATGATATTGAAGTTTTAATTTCAATGTATTGATTTATTCAATGTATGTAATAATATAGTTACAAGCAACGTAACGGCTGATAGAATTTAAGTTTGCCGATTCCTATTACACATACGATAGTCGTGCGAGTTGCTCTTCTCTCAAAACCACTCAATAATAAACAAATAATTAAAAGTTTCATGCAATATCATTATAATGAATAATTTTTATAAACGAACTATAAATATATAAATATTTACGATTTCATTGCTCGTCAAGTAAAATCAATACCACGCGCGGATTTACATGAATTTAATTGAAAACTTATAATGACTGTCCAAGACTTATATAATCTAAGCATTATGTTATCCTTCTTCTTGAAAAGTAAAAAAAATATCGAAAGCGTTAGATATTATGGCTTTGATTATAAACAATGAAATTTTAGATTCGTATATAATTAAGAAATGAAAAGCATTTCTAGATTCCATTCATAGATGACAATGCATACACAAAATACGCAAAATTGAATTAAATTAATATATATTGATAATTAGTTTACCTTTTGAATTCATTCAGTTGCACCTTATGAAGAAAATGTAAAAAGCCTGTAATTTATATTACATGAATGATAATCATACCTAAAATCTTTGTCATTTACCCGATTCTATAATTTCTTTATAGAATATAGGCTTCTAATTCATTAACGTAAAATTCGATTCTAATTAATTCTTAAAGGAAGGAAAACGAAGGAAAAATAGTCATTTAATAAATCTGTACAATATAGATAAAACGTGTTAAAATTGATTAATTCATAGAAATAAATATATAAATATTTGTCGGCACCTATTCAAGACATCGATACCATAAAAACAAAACAAAAAAACAAAAAAAAAAAAACAAAAAAAAAAAAACAAAAAACAAAACAAAACAAAAAACAAAACAAAAAACATAACAAAAAATTTCTTTATATTAATAGATAAAACGGCAAATTTTTTAATTACATACCTTATATTTGTGTCGAATAAATAATTAATTAAAAATGATAAAGTTCAATTATAGAAAAAGTAGCAAAATATAAATTAGAAATTTTGTAGAAATATTTATTGAAAACGACAATAAGAATAAGGTAAAATTATCTTTATATGAGAAATTAAATGCAAAACACACTTGCGTAATACTTGCATTTATATTTATTATAGTTGCTATTAACGTATGAATATTAATATTAAGAATATATTAACATATAAAAGATAAAAATTATATCAATATATATATACAGTGAACAAGTGGACGAAATTGTAAAAGTTGTGTGTTAATTGTAAACCGAATCATAGTTTTTTTGTATTAAACAATGATATGGAATATTGAAAGCATGAAAATTTTAATTATAACGAGTGCTGGTATAATTAACGTAAAGGTTTTTTACAACGCAATAATATACTTTTGATGTATATTTATATTTTCATTTTCTCATAAGAAACTGATATAGTGCCGTGGTATTTAAATTGAATTAATTAATTCCTCGTAGGCGCATAAAGCCATAACATCTACTCCACATACTTTAACAAAGTCCGTGCATTTTTTGTTGTAGAACCTTACATGCGCAAGCATTGATATGGCTTTCGAATGACTGTGATTAGCTATAAATAATGACGGCACTCAATTTTCATGTTCACCAATGTTTTCTTCACCAAGTCAAAGTCGAATAATGAGAGACAGTCGTTGTAAAGTCGTTGTAAAGTCGTGATAAACGAATGCCCCCTCGCCTACTCTAATATCAGCATTTATGCTCGTCAGTTCGAAGCTCAACGGGGTATCGATTGGTTACTGGCGAAGAAGAAAAAAAAAAAAAAAAAAAAAAAAAAAAAAACAGGCAACTTCCGCGCTCGAGGATGCTCCAACGAGCCGAGTGATATAGAGATGTTGTCGGATATAGAGATAACGGAGACGTCGGCAGGACGATGGACGCGGATGGAGAAGCGGGTGAGCGACGGCGAGCGTGGAAGTCGAGCCGATTAGCGCCTGATGCGTGTGTATGTAAAGCAGGTGCGCTCGCTCGGCCAGTTCCGTACATCGTGTAATTGGAGTACGGGATGTAAGGCTGCATTATGTTTAGTCGCGGGGGCGTACTGGCAGACGCGGCGACGGCTTCCCCTGCGAGTGGCCACACAGTGGGTCACTGCTGACGATTCGTCGGACGATTAGGGTCCATTGGACGGAATAGTCGAGTTGCGCCGATGAGCGCGCGCCAATCGTCAAAACTGATTGGAAGTTGCGCTATTTGACAAGCCTGCCGGGTGACAAATTGCATTTCCGTAGGCGCGGGAGGAGGTCGGGCTTCGAGGTAGGCGTAGGTGTCGACTTCCCTCGCTAATAATCCCGTTTAAATTGGACGGCGCAGGGGTGCGGTTGCGGTCCTGCAAATTACATTCATTGGAAACTCTTGTATCCTCTACTCTACTCTTGCTCTCGCACTTCCAAAGTATTGGCTGCTAATGGATTCGAAATCGAGGCGATCGACGCTTCCGACGCCCTTCGATTTTATACAGTCTAACCATTTCCCATGACTATGATCGCGAATATATTCCTGCATGTGAGATTTTAGCCGGAGTTTTAAATATTTAGGAAGTGGATAGTTAATAACGGCTTAGCCCAGTTAAAAACTTGTTCATTTTTTGTAAATTATATCGATGGATCGATGCTAATGGATTGGTGGATTCGTATTAGTCTATAAGGCTGAAGCAGGGCTACAGTACTTGCACTCGTGTTATTATTGATAGATCGACGATGTCCCGAGATTACAATAACATTAACGGACTCTGAGAGCTTTCCCGATAATTGAAAAACATGTAAAGTATTAGGCACATCATGTAATTATTCCATTGTTTAAATTCATTGAGATTACGAGCCTTAAAGTTGTATCTTAATTGAATATTATTGTTCAAATCAGTAAACTTAGTTTATAATTGTTCGCTAAGAGCTTATTTAAATAATATTATAATTTTATATCATTTAGCTTGTCATTGTGGTATATGCATATTAAAGCAAAGCATAATTAATGAATAATGCAAGCCGTGAACAATGATAATAAATTCCATTCTACGCAGTTTTCCAATCTGTAATACTAATGGCTGATACCTGCTGCGTTGCATCTAACCTCGAAACTTCCATATCCTCTTGAGAATGTAAAGCTTGATTGAAAGTTCCAACATTGCATTCAAGCTCCCTTACGCGGATAATGCAATTTTCAAAATCAATCGCTTCGTCTTGGCGATAAAATTAACATTCGAGCAAGAAAAATGCCAATATCTCATATTGGCTTGATTTCGTTTCTTCATCCGCGATTAAGACGCGCGTACATCGTTACATCCCGCGACGAGCGGTGAAAGTAGCGATATCCGAGGAACGAGAAGAAAGTGAAAAAAGCGACGGAGAAGCTCGTGAGTCATAAGAGAACCGTTGCTCCTTGAGATCGCGCATCTCGTTTTCCGCGAGCTGCGGCAAAAATTCTCATCTCCGTCGACCTTGCACTCCTTAAAATCCAACAGCGGGCGTAAAGTAAGTTAATAAGAAGACGTTTCTTTTGGATGGACGAGGAGGGCATACGGAGTTTGGGACGATGGGTTGCGATGGGGTGCGATGGGTTGCGATGGGGTGCGATGGGGTGCGATGGGGCATTGTGGCGGCGTGGGGAAGGGGGAGACGAGACGAGACGAGACGAGACGAGACGAGACGAGACGAAACGACGCATCCACGGGAGAAAGAAGAGCCGCGTTTAATTCGCGCGTCAATTGGCAATCCACGGCGGTATTTGCGCGCCGGATGCGCAACGCACCGGCAGACGCTCGAGCTCCTTAACTACTCGTAATTGGCCGCCTCTTACGCCTCGCATTTGGCATCTAACGTTTCAGGGCCGGACGGTGTTCTCGTGGTACGACGGCTCGGTGTCCGCGGGCGACGGCTACGCTGACCGCATACAGTTGATCGAGGACGCACAGGCGCGGGGATACGGCCAAGGCAGCGTCAACCTCACCAACATCAGGGAGAGCGACCAAGGTTGGTACGAGTGCAGGGTCATATTTCCAAACAGGACGCCGAGCTCTAGGAACAATGGCACGTGGTTTCATCTTGCAATTGACGGTAAGTGGCACGAAGATCGCGCTTATGACGCCTGATGCCAAACTTGTTGACATGCTCGCGACGTCGTTGCACGGATTCCCGACAACTTTGTAATCATAATGAGTGGTTCGTTGGGATTGTCCACTGACAAGGATTAATACCTGTCATTCTCGAGATGCATGCAGCGCGTGGAGAGGGTAAGAGAGGGCGAGAATGCGAGATAGCGCGATTGTTTTAAAAATATTATGCCTTTCGACGGACCTAACACGGACATGCAATTCCTGCATTGGTTTGCGAGTTTGCGAACAAATTGAAAAATCAAGGCACATAAAAAAAATCAAAGCTCACATAATCAATCCTCTTTGGGTTTTGAAGGTTTCTAGTTCATCCATACAAGATAGAATTTTGTATCCGATATCGATGTCTTCTCAAATCCCTATTATTAGATTCGATTTCGTTCATAATTTTTCTCGGGATTTCGAGTATCGAGATTACATACACTCCGTTTAAAAATTACAGATACTTTAGCATCCATTAGTGCATACATGCAACTAATGATGGAATTATTATGCTCGTATCTGTATTATAAATTGTATTTTTAAACAATGATGTTTAAATAAAAATGCATGTTGCGCGAAATAATTTACAATTTCGTAATGATTGTAAAATTGAGACATGCGTACTATTTGTAATTTTACTATTACATTTGCAAGCCACGAATAATTTAAAGTTAAGCGTAGCAGTTAGAAAGAAACGATTAAGCTACGAATTAACAATTCGGTGATTCAGTCAATTTGCATTTCAAATTTATATGAGCGGGAGGTGCATAGATTGAAATTAATACTCCTCGCATCAGAGTAAAGGGCAAAAAAAAATCTGCAAATACTACGTAAACGTGATCGTTATTTTATTCGAAAAAAATATGTACATTTTCAGTACACTCTGAGAAAAGAAATATATTATTCATAATATTGCAAACGTTATTACGCTTTTAATTTTCTTTTCAAGAATCTCTACTCGTTAACGTAATTACGTTATTCCAATATAATGTAATGAACATACACAAAATTATAATATTATAATAACACTACATAAAAATTATATATATATATATATATATAAATTATAAAAACACTGCAAATACAAACAATGCTTCAGAACACTTTAATGATAAATCAAATTGGACAGTTATATTTATTATGATATTTTTTGTCCATCCAATGAATTTAATTAATTGTTTAAAATTTTCAATGAAATTTTATAATAAAATTTACTATCCAATTATTTTAAGCTACATTCAATGTAAATCTAAAATATTAATTATAATAATTGCAGTAACTGCAAAAATATTAAATACTTGAAGTAATATGCTCGTTGATAAAATAATTGTTTACCATTGATTTTTTTCTTCTCTGTGCTACATTGCTTTATGCAATTAAAAAAGCTGACTCAGATTGGGAATGAAATTTTGTTTAAATTAATTTTTTAAATAGATTATACAGTCCTTTAATAAAATTATTGGTATTTTTTTTATTTTTTTTTTTATATGCCTTTACAACATAACATTTTTTTAATACAATATAGATGAATTATTTGTCCTCCGATTAATTCCAAAAGTGAAAAAATCATGGGCCACCTATAACAGGAAACACAAAATGAAATAATACGAACTTAGTTTTGGTAAAGACTTCGCAACAATGCGTGCATCCGATGAAGTAAAAGAGACTTTAAATTAAGAAAGCACGTCGATGCGTAACATACAACTTAAACTACTGGTACCGCAGTACCGTGCAGCTTCAAGCTCATTTTCTTATCACATTGCTCTTTCGGTGCGTAAGACGATGCCAATTGATTTTACTCTTATTTTGCTAACGGCAATTAACCTCGCGTAGACATCCAAAAAAAAAAAAAAAAAAAAAAAAAAAAAAAAAAAAAAGCACAAATAACGTGCACTCACACGCGCGTGTGCCTGTGCGTTTCTCGGGGAAAATGGATAAAATGATACGCCAGTGCGCTGCTTTACTAACCACTAACCGATGAGATTGGTTAAACCGTTCAACCCAGGTGTGTTGCCGCCGTCGCCCAATGTTCCAGGCGAGACGCTTCTGGCCATTCCACCAATTAATAAAACTGTTATGGAAGGAGCCTCGGTGGCCTTCGACTGCGTCACCAAGAACAACAAGTCGACCATCGCCTGGTACCGCGAGGGACTGGAGATAACGAAACAACAGGTGTAGTATTAGAAACATAAGATTAATGCTCCACCTCGAGACTCGGCGGGATTTCAAATCATGCCTAGTAATTTTAAAGAAACATTAATTTGATAAATTTGCCCCCCTCCTTCTCATTCTTAATACAAAATCTATTCAATTAGGTCAATAAGTGAAATTATTCAATAAGTGAAGATGAAAAAAGTTACAACTATTTTGTCCCATACTATACTTTGTCAAGCGCAACTATTCGAATTTAAAATATCGCACGGTCTACTATTGCTTTAATCCATAATATAATTACCACACGGTGACTTGCTTTGATACTTACATTGACAACTTTTAGAACAAATATAAAATTAATATTTCATTTAAGGATTATTAACATTAAAAAAAGTCCCGACAATATGTGATTAATTAGTTGGGACTTTCAAAGATTAAATATAGAAAATCGGCATAGAGATACCCCATGACATCGCTATACGCTGTGTACTCATGCTTACGTTGTATATAGACATTTTCGTGGAACGTTCGAACGTTCTCATAGAATTTCGATTAGCTCGTTATCTCAAACTTGTCTCGACGAGTTCTCCGCGTACGATAATGTACGAAAGCTCCACGATTCCACTCTTAATAACTAAGCTCGTCATAATCAGAGACATTGTCGCGACTCTGAAGAAGCATGGATTCTTACGTTCGTACGTGTATGGCCGTATATGTCCCGTCATTAAAATATGCACGTATTTCTTACACCTACATTTATCAATATCTAAGAGATATATTTACATTTTGATAAATCTACGAAATATCATTCGAGATGACAATTAATTTTCGTGAAAAAATAAAATCCCAAGTTGGTATTTTAAATGTTTTCGAATTTTCGTGTATAAATTTTCTTTATGTATATTCACCAATATATATATATATATATATATATATATATATATATATATATCTATATTACCTAGTTTAAAGATTAATTTAATTTTTAATGGTAAAGCTTGTTCATACAGTATTATTTTCATCAAAATAAAATTTTAATAATTGTAAGTTAATACTGTAGTGATTAGATAACTAGCTTCGATATTATTGCGGCTTATTATTCGATAAATAATCAAAACAAATTCTCGATAATGCAAAAGACTGCTAAATAGATAATTGCACTATGAAAATTCAATGTAACTAATACGAATGAATAGAATTAATTAAAAATATAATGCATTTTTTAATAGCACAAATTCAAAATGTAATATTTATTTTATTGTGAAATAATATTATTCCAATTTAGTAGGACCTTTACATAAATATTCTACATGAATATTAGTTAATATACAGTTAAAGTAAGTTGTTATTTTTTAACAAATCCCAAAAAACAAAAGTTAATACAGTTCTTAAGATCTTATATTCTTCAATTTAGCCATATTAACACTTGAATATTTATTTCATTGAATAAATATACTTTAATATAAATCAAATTAAATAATAATATTATGAGAATGTTATGTTTTATATCAATTTTCGATTAAATTTCATTTTCCAACTCGAATAAAATATAATTTATACATAAAGCTTCAAACTGATAAAAAGTAAATTAAAAAATATTTACATGTTACATAACGTGCTAATAACTTCAAATTAAATTTCATAAGATAAAATAAACAATTAAAATTTAATAGAGTTTTGTCAAATTTTCATTTTTCTGAAAATACTAAAAAAACATCAATTTAATAAAATAAATATAGAATCGACAATAAAAATGACAAAAATATATTAACTATAACACTACTTATTAATCCTCCGGATTATCGAAGATAAGAAAATTTTTCTTTTCAACTTTTCACAAAATTTAATGTCATATTCATTATATAAATTTTTGTTTTATAAGTATAAACAACATAACGTCTGATGAATATCATCTACATTTGGGCAAAATTTTCATTCTACTTTAAATTTAAAATAAAATTAAAAAATCGGTAAAATTGATTTCTATGGTTTATTGAACAAATTATGTTTTAGCGTATTATTTATAATAGGAGGAAAACCTTGATGCTAATAAAATAATTGAATTATTATATTAAACAAACAATATTAGTATAACAAATGAATCATTATGCGCGCGATAATTCATTTTACAATCAACATTAAAATTCTCATTAAGCCCATAAATATTGTTAGATAATTAATTATTTAACATTGCTTACGACAGATTAATAATAAAAAGAAGAACAAAATATTTTCTTCAAAACTATCAATATTATATTATTTTATTTTATAGGCTGGGAATATTTTAAATGTCCATTAATAAATTACAAATCTAAAATAAGTATCTTCGAACGAAATCATTCTTCTCGCTATTATCGCATAAGCGCACACATAATTTATTATTACTTTACACAATTGAAGTAACGTAAAATATTCAATGCAGGATCTGCGAGAACGAATTACTATCCATACCGATGGAAAATTGACAATAAATCCATCACTAATGGGTGATCTTGGCGAATATAGTTGCACAGTTACTAACGAGTATGGCGATACACAAAGTGCATCTGCATATTTAAATGTTCAATGTAAGTATTTAAAGCTTTACAGCACAGTTTATATAATACGTAATTATATGTTACGAATAGTTTTAATTGTACTGTATTAATATAGATCATTTTATCGTGTCTTATGAAATATTGTAAGCGAGTGATTAAAAATATAATAGATAAATTGGAAAGAATAGCTGTTATAATGATTAATAAAATTCTTTAATTATATTATTTAATACGAAAGGCATAATATTATGCATTGATTATGGAGCGTAAAATATAAAAATTGTTCATTATTGTATTAAATTGTAAGATAGACTTTAAAATTCGTTTTAATAAATATATCCATTATAACGTTAAATTATATTCGTTAAACCTCATTTGACATGATTAACTTCACACAACATATATCTAAAGATACAAGGCAACTATTATATAAAGTGAAATGAAAATAAATACATATTTATTTACATATATTGTAAAACTATTTTTTAATATAACTAGTATAATACAATTACACTTCGAATGAAACATTATTTACTATGAATATAACTATGAAAGTATTTTCATAGTTCTTTAGTTTAATTATAAATTATTAGTTATTGTTCACCAATTACTAATTAAAGGATTATTTTTTCAAGAAATAATCATAGATATTTTTCAAATGTTATTTAGATAAAGCAAAGGTTATATATGCGCCAAATGAAGTGTATCTACCTTATGGGAAACATGCTCTTTTGGATTGTCACTTTCGAGCTAATCCACCATTGACGAACTTACGCTGGGAGAAGGATGACTTTCTTTTCGATCCATACAATGTTCAAGGTGTTTTTTACAGAAGAAATGGTTCTCTTTTCTTTAATAAAGTTGATGAGAGTCATGCTGGGAAATACAGCTGCACACCATATAATGCTTTAGGTACCGACGGACCCAGCCCACCAATTACAGTCGTGAGTAAGATAAATTAATTATTCTTTAATAATTATACGTATTTCAATTGATATTATGGTAAAAATATTAAAAGAAAAAATATGAATATTATGTTATGAATAAAACCATTGTTCATACGAATTATTATTAAATGCAAATCATCGTACTTGCACACATACTATACGTGGTATATTATACGTGGTGATTGTACTTATACGTACGTCAAAATAATTTATTCAGATTGTCAAATGATATTTAAATTATTTTAAAATATAATGTAATTTTATGAGTTTCTATAAATGAATATGTAGATTCTTAACTAAAATATTAACAATGTAACGCTATTGGCACTCGTTAACATTGCGGAAATCGACATTAATAACCATGATTAAATTTCAAGTCCTATGGACATTTCTTCCCATGTTATCCTATTAGACTCATTAGTAAGTCTCAAACAAGCTAACGTCTACAGTTCCCACTATTGCAAGAAAAATGTATAATGCGCTGTCATATCGTGTATAATAGTCAACTTATGATTTCCTTACACACTTCCCTTAAGCTCCATAATATATAATATATGCAACACAATGCCAGAATGGTACATAAAATTCATATAAAAATATGTTTAATGACATGTCAATTATTTCTCAATATTTGCATGACTTTTCAAACGATCCAATTTTAACAATTTTCAGGCATAAATTATTAGAAAAATGTTGAAAAGACTTTATTGGATTCAATGATAATTGTAAACGCAATAGGGATATATAGTCTCGAACACTAATATTATAAATTCATAAATACATAAATATATACTTGTACATAACATTTTGCTTTGCGTCCATTTTTCGCGTACATCGTTGTAATTAAAAAAAAAAAAAAAAAAAAAAAAAAAAAAAAAAAAAAAAAAAAAAAATTAACCCTCTCACGTCGATTAGCCGATCTAATCTCGTCGATGGTCGATTATGAAAGTATCAGTTTTAATCGGCCAATCATTCTACGTTGCTAGTTTTGTTTTTTCTTTTGTTTTATTTTGATTATTAAACTGTAACATAAATTACTCTATAATTAAGAAAAAAAAAAAAAAAATAAATAAAATGTTAAAAAATATTAATGTTTATCTTGTTGTTCTAATGTTTAGTTTGTTGTTTAGAAAATTATCTTTCAAGACACTTAACGAATTTAATAAATTATCTTGTCATTTCATTAAACTTGATCTTCTTTCTTCTACCATAATTTACTTGTAAACTTAACTAAAGTAATTAAATATTTGCCTGAATTCGCCTATTTACCCTTAATTTATTACGCATTACATTACATTAAAGTATATATAAATTTTAGTTAGCTTAATATACTCTAATTTCAAAACTTTCCTTTAAAACTATTTCACATACAAATTAATGATGTCGAATAAATATTTCCAATATATCATTTTATGAAAAATCAAGATACAAGATATTTGATTGTTGAAATATTACACCAGCATAAATCGTCTTATTTAACAAATAAAAAATAAAACGAATGAAAAACATACGAAATTGAACAAAAAATTAATTATTAGAATGTTTATTTAAAAATTTAGAAGTTCTTTTAAAGCAAACTACGTCGGTTAAATATTAATGTTCCACAATTTAGAATATTAATATTTTACAGAGTAATATTAATTTTACTATTAATAAATGCACATCAAAAATCATCAAATTCATATTAAATAAATAATGCTGGATAGAAGTAAATTTATGCATTATGTTGTGATTAAATGTATACATTACCCTCTTGGGAAGCATGGTGGACAACATTGACTAATTGCCACATTATAAATAAGCTATTTGATCACATTCGTCGCTTTATTCTCCAATTAAGTATTAAACTTCAAGTGCTTGAATCATACAACTTTAACGATTGTATATAGAGAATATAATGTACTTTTACAGCTATTAACTTGATACCGTCAGAGTGTTAAATTGTTTGGATCAATAAGAGAAAAGTAAAAATTACATTGAAATTTTCTTGTATACTTGAGTATTTTAAAAGATATAGTCATTTTTTTTTTTACATCTCAATTATTATCATATAAAATTAAATAGTTTTGATAATGTGTATTATATGTTATTATTGTAATAATAGTTATTGGAATATAAATCATTCGTTTTAACAGCTAATACGATTGAAATAAACATAAACATTCGATTGCAATATATACTCAATTATTAACAAAGTGAATGAATATTGAGGTTTAGAAAAATTTTCATCTATATTTTAATTAGTAATTATAAAGTATTTAAAAAAAAAAATAATTTCTTTTTTTATACATCTTTAAAGTCAACGATATATAATATTATTCGAATATCTATTTACCTTAACAAAAACATACAAATAATGTTTCCATTGTAAATTTATTGGTAATTATTATTACTTATATAAATATTATTACTATTTAGAATTAAAAAAAAAAAGAAAAGTGTTCTAAATTTGAATTATCACTACAAATATTTATTTCATATATATGTATATATATATATATATATATACATTCATAACTTATATTGCGTAAATTTGAATAATTTTTGTTTAATAATTGCAAAATGTTTATTATTAGCAAACAACAATTCTCATTATTGACGTCATCTTTACCGGTCTTTTATTCCAGATAGTCCAACGACCTCCAGTATTTACGGTAACGCCTCAACATCTTTACATGCGTAAGCTTGGAGATACTTTGGAAATTCCGTGCGATGCAAGAGATGGCGATCTTAATCATCGGCCAACAATAGTTTGGTATAAAGTAAGTTAAACGCGAAATATACAAAAGAAACTTTGACATTAACATTGGATAATTAATTTCATCGTTGAAAAAATGTAATATAAAAATACGAGGTAATTTAAATATCAACTTAATATATAATTGAAAATTATAATCAAACTTATTATTTGAATTTTGACGTGAAACATATTGAAGCTTAATAGTATAATTAACTTGCTTTTTAATAATAAAAAAATTAAAAAAAAAATAATAATAAATAAAATAAAATAATAATAAAATAATAAAATTAAAAACCTTAAAAAAAATAATATTTTCAATTATTAACTCTGCTATTGATTATAAAAGGACGGAACACCGCTACCACCAGACAGAATACTAATGAGAGGAGGAAATTTAACGATTGAAAGGATTCAAGAGCAAGATAGAGGTATGTATCAATGCGCGGCAAGTAACGAAGCTGCCACAGTGGTTGCGGACGCTGAGCTAATGGTTCTAAATGTGCCACCACGAGCCCCGTACAATTTAAGTGCCAACAGTACAAAAAATGCCGTGACGTTAACGTGGGTGCCAGGATACGTCCGGCCAAAAATGGAATATTCCATATGGTAAGTTATCGTTGCTTATGTTGCGCAAATGACTGGGAGCATATAGTACTAGGAGATAAGAATTTTCGATTACGCAGGTACAGACCAACAGACACGTCAGAATGGAGAACAATGAGAATAGTTTCGAGAAAGATTACAGAAGCGACAGTTGCCAATCTGACTCCTGGGAAAGAATATGAATTTATGGTACTTAGCCAGGATAAGCATGGCGATGGGATGTTCAGCAAAACTGTGCGCGTATTTACGCAGCCTAGTCAGTAATTTGTATAATACCTTGTCATTTTTAATCGATAAACAACTAATAACTACAACTAATAAGCTACATTAATAATATTTTTACAATTTAGATTCTAATATTCTCAACATTGCATCCGAATTCCAACGTTCAAAAGGTAAAAAATTTGTCTTTCCAATATTTTCGTACATAACAGATGATTTTTTGTTTTTTTGTTTTTTTTTTTTTTTTTTGTTTTGTTTTGAATTCATTATTACGTTGCTCGCCGTAATTTAATAATGTTTGCCCATTCTAATGAAAACTCACGCTTACAAACGCATTGCAAATGAAATAACAAGTGTGAAATTTTATAGACGATAATGAAATGGAACCACCGCGTAATATTAAAGTTCAGGCAACGGTGGAAGGATACCTTGTCACTTGGGATCCTCCTTTCAATGGGAAAAATCAAGTGAAATTTTATACCGTAAGATGGTTCAGGGGGCCTTCCGAGTACCTATATGGTAGAGCAGAAACTACCGATACGTATTATCTAGGTAATCCAAAAGAATTAATATTATTTTTATACATAATAAAGTGCCATTAAACGTATAAAATACATCGGCATCGGTAATATGACCAACGATCATAATGATATTTATAATCAAATTCCGATAAAATGTATAAAATAATAAATACATTGATTGTTTCATTGGTATTCTTCGAGTCGTATGATTGTATTATCAGATGTCAAATAACAACTTGAATAAAAGTCAAATTATCATTTCCACTCTCTTCTATGTACATTAATTTGAAATTGCCTTATAAATTTCATAATTACAGTAAAATCATTGGAAGAGGAAAATTTTTACACTTTTGAAGTAGTGGCTACGTCGACGGCCGAGGATATAACAGTGAGTGAACGTTTTACTTTGGAAGTTCCGGCCTATCGAAGAAATCGCGCCATTTCCATGGGAATAGTTGCTGGAATAGCATTCTTAGCTGCAGCACTGGGAGCTATTTGGTGGGCGAAGAAGCGTTACTGTCAAAGTTCACCTAGAGAAAAATGACGTATGCATAAAAAATGCGTGAGCGAACTTATACTAAACAAACGAGCTTTATTGTCATAAGGGGAGGCTTAGCTATTTATTAGTAAGTGAATATAAAATATTATAATAACGTAGGTGAAACTGTAGTAATGTAACTGTATTTCATTGTATGAATATTTGTCAGAAACGGGTTGAATGCTTCGATGTGATAAAAGTAGGCTCACAGTAGGCCAAGAATAATCTCATTTAGTGCGTTAAGGTTATCAAAGCATTTATATTACGTCTCATTGAATAAAAAAAATATCACTTATCATTCTGCTTTTTATTAATATGTGAATAATTCTTAAATTAAAATTCAATTGACTAAAATAATAATTTCAAATAGATGAAAATAATCACATAATAGCAAAATTACATATACAAATACGACAGTTACGAAATTTCGATGTAATAATAATTTTATGCATCTTAATATTCAATCATTTTTATTAAATATTACAAGTATCGAATGTTTAATTTGAGGATTGTCTAATTGAGTTGCATGCAATTAAGAATGTCATTAAGCTATAACCTATTGCTTTATTACTCACGACGATTCGTTAATTCATCTCACAAAATATTCTGACAATATCATTCGTAAATACTAAAGAGAGAAATTCAAGTTCTCATTCTTACGATTATTATAAGTATGTGTCTTAATATATACATATGTATTCATTTACTTATCATTAGTAGCGACGAGCAAGTATTTGTTTTATAATATTTATAAAAATATTTTTATTAAATATTATTATACTTTCCTTAGCATTTATAAAAACTCAAATAACATAATCGCAATACATTGAAGCCAATTGAATAAAAAAAAAAAAAAAAAAAAAAAAAAAAAAAAAAACCGTTTTCGTTTAGGAATAACAAAATATGATCTAGTACATGCATTTAATAAAATATTCTCTCCAATTACTTTTATTCGAATATTGAAATCAATTTTAATTACATAAATACCAATTAGTTAATTTGTAAAAATTTCTATCATACTGAATGGGTTAACATTTAAATTATATATATATGCTGTTATTTATGTATATATATTCAATATCAATAATCAACTAAAACATAATATTTAATTGAAATTAAATTTAACTCTTATAAGAATGTGTCAAATCAATTTCACTTAATTAATTAAATATTAGATAATAATTAGATACAAACTTATATTAAATACACTAAATAATTTGTGTTAATTTGTGTTACTTAAATTATTTAATATTTCTTTAAAATGTTATTAATATTCCAATTTTCTTCTACAAATCTTAAACGAATCCTTCAAAAATAATCAACGATAATTAAAGAATCTTACATTCGTGTATAGATTATGAAAAAAATTCGAAGTTATTAATGAAAATTTATAAAAGAAATAACAATTTTCTATGTATATTTTCTATGTGTATTTTCGTACTCTAAAAAGAAACGAATTTTATTACCAAGAAACATTTTTAAAAACAATGGTAAAACTCTAGATATTTGATATAATATTATTATCATTATTATTCATTTACGCAAATACAATTTATAATCAATTATTAATATGTAATTTTCAATCGAAACATTGGCACATACTAGAATATTTTGTTTCAGTAATAGTATTATATCCATCTTTATCGCCCAAATGTACTTTAGAATTAAATTTTGTCAAAAAGGTAATTGTTTCGGACCAATTGAAATCACATTATAATTAATTTAAAATCGTCATAAGCCACACTTTTCAAGATCGAATGACGAAATGACAACATTCCAAGGGCTTCGTAATCGCTGCATACCAAGACTTCAAGTGAATTAGCATTATTGCAAAAAACGAGGGAGTATACGTACGAGCGTACTAAATAATCACGTTTCATACAACAAATGCATCACACGTTACATAATCAATATTATATCAATAAACTATAATTAATAAAAAAACAAATATAATTATATTTACGTCTTTCTATTATTATTGATGAAATTAAATTCAATAGAATTAAAATAAACATAAAATAAAAATTTTATGTGATTAGAAGACATTATTTTGACACTTCTCACGGGTTATTTAGAAAACAATTATTATTAATATATAAAAATGATATTGAATAATATCGTTTTTTTTTCTTAGTAAATTTTTAATATTTTTCCAGTAATTTCTTAATTCATTTTTAATAGAATTTATTAAAGAATTATTTATTGTGATGACTTTATGTTTACTCATTAACTTATAAAGATACTAAATGATTATTTTTTTAATTTCATGACTAACAATGATATTGAAATATTTTTGTATTGGAAAAGTTCCCAATTTTAGTCATTAAGATTTATTAAAACTATATTACTAATACGTCAATCAGTTTCATTTTAATTGAAAAATCGAGATTACTATCAATGTTACAAAATGCATTCTTTTATCAATTGCAAAATTTCTATATTCCGCTTGTATCTGCACTTATTGCTAATAAAATGGCACACTTGTTTATTTCATATCTCTTGCTATTAATGATATTGAACATTGAATAAGATTCAGTTAAATATTCTAAATAATTAATAGTGAATATATACGAGAAAAAAAAATTATTTTTTATACACGATTTATTGTTGCACTTGTAATCAAATTTAATCAATTTTTACTGAAAATATTTGTTAAAATTTATTCGAACTTTATTTATTTAATTTATAGGATTTGTCTACAGCATATAATATGTATGTATAATAATTATATTTTCAATTACTTATAAGAAATTTATCGTATTTTAAAAGGCTTCGAAAATATAAATGATTTTCAAGAATTATTAAAAATTATCTATTATCGACAAAAAAATTTCATTTTCAACTTTTTTTTTCCTAAACTTTTTTAATCTAATCTACTTTTCCGCCATATACTTCTTCATATAGTCATGCATAGATTGATGCGCGCGCATCAATATGACATACTTTTAAACTATCATAGGTTACGTGAAAATGTATGTGAAAGAAGTGCATGTGCAGGTATGCGTAATTTGGTTTGAATAAAGATATTCGTACGTATATACATATATATATATATATATAACAAATTTCCCTATATAAACGTATGTAAATAGCTATCAATTATATTACAAATATAATTATGTATTTTATTGTAATCATATATTTTATTAACGGAACTCTAAAGATAAAATTAATACACTGACGATAATTTACATTATTCAACTGAATAATTAGATAGCAAATCTTACAAATATTTCTTAAGTTTGCAAATTTTTGTTAATAATATATAATAAAGAATATAAACTTACAAAATTTTTATAATTTTTATAGAAAGTTATATAATATTTTTTCAAGTAAAATTTTTTTTTAAAGTATTTTTATACTTTCATGTTAATTAACAACATAAGCATATTCTAATCGTACATTTTGAACTCGAGACTTTTAGTATTAAATAATAATTGTAATTACAAAATTATAATGTATTTTAAAGTCTTTATTTAAAATCTACAAAATCATGACATTTGTAAATCTATGCAAGTACTACATTATATAAAAATATAACATTAAAGTTTCATATCATAATTCTTTTGCATGAGTATGGAAAATCGAGTAAACAATATTCCATAAATATGATTAAAAATTTCTATATCTTAAAGATTTATGGATCTATTTAAATATTTTCCTTCCTATTGAATGAACAATTCTTGATACTTCAGTTCAACAACTCAGCTATATTTACCTCTAATTGTTTACGTATAATCAAACAATATCGAACTAATTATTGTCCATTCAATTTTTAAGTAATAATTAGTATACTTTAGATAAATAATTATTTTTCTCTATTAAAAAATACAGTTTACAATAAAACTTAACTTTCAATTATTTTTTGCAGTATCGCCAATTTTTTAACGAATGATATATTCTGATTTACTCATATATTCAAATATTCAATATATATATATATATATATATATATATATATATATATATATATATATACATATATACAAAATATTGCCACATACGTACGATTATAAGTAAATCTGGACTTTTGTTTATAAACGATTCGTGAGAACATGAAGAAGTATGCACGCGTGGGCGCGTGTATATTTTACGTACAAAGGTAAGTGTGTGCGTATGTAGTTGTGTATTTGTATTCTATATGTACTCATAGATGCATGTATAAATGTTTGTCAATTTGCACATGTGTAAATATGTTGATATGCAAATTATATTGTTTGTGTATAAATGAAGATGCACGGATGTATTATATAAATGTATATAAATAGGTGTGTATACATGCCCACGGATGATTACGTACACGAAATTACGGAAAGGTCAAAAATATCTTTTACCGATACTTTTTTTTTAATTTTATTTCTGTACTAAGTCAATGTAATAATTTGTAATCTATTAATAATTGATGTTGTATAAATGTTATCAAACTATTACTTAATGTGTCTGCACTAATCGTACAGTTAACTCTATTATTTTAAGTAAATAATCCTACACACACGCGCGCGCGCGCGCGCGCGCACACGCACACACACACACACACATAACGAAATGGTATTTGTTTTAAATATACATATATCAATGATTGCTTAGTCGGCCTACTTCGCTCGTATTATATTAAATCTTATTTTATTCATTACTTTTTAACATACTGCAGTAACGTTAAAACTGTATTTTCCATTTCTTTAAAATTACGATTTAATAAAAAATTTATAAATAATTCTATAATATACCAATCCATATATACTATGGCTTCAGTTATTATTATTTGTTGAGGAATTGATTACTTTAAATATTAGTAATCTTTAAAAGTATTGATATTATTTTAATATACAATGTAATTAAAATTCGGCATAAATTACTGACTTAAAAATTATAATTAACGATATTTTAAATCAGCATTGAATCAAGTTATATTATAATTTCTTAAAATTAATATTTTTCAATGATTATATAAATGATTGGTAAAACCATTGTAAATTTATAGTTTCATTATCTAGTTTAATAATGAA